AAATTTTCATATCGGCACTTAGGTGCAAATTCATGTACCATGCATTCTCATTCAACATACATTGGGCAAATAAAATAATAATTTAGAAAAAAAAATTACTGATTGATAATTATGCTAGGCATACTAAATATTGTTTCGCAGGTTATGTGAAAGAAACTTGGTTTACCAAGCCAGCTTTATATATTATTATGATTTATACGATTTAATTCGTATTTTGATAGTTTATGGATACCTTTATGTTTTGATTTCACCTCATTATTATTATGCCTCACTAAGTGAATACTTAGCGTGTATTGGTTTTACGCGTAGGTATTAGTACAAGCGGAGTAAGGAGTGCAACTGACATCGTCAATTAAAGGTTGCTTCATCAGTAACTGTATGACTATTATTTCTACTTTTGATATTGGCATGTAATAGACTTATGAAAATGCTTTGGAATGTATTTGACTTATGATGATTGTAATATTTAATATGTTAGAACTTTAAGACTATTTTACATACTAAAAGTGAATGAAAGTTTTAATTTTTATTACATTAAAATTTTTTATGTATAGAAATGTAGAAATCGGAGTAATTATCTGTAATTTCTTATTCTTTTCAATATGACAGATTACATATTTATATACAAAATATCTCTCTAAAGTATGAAACTCTAAGAAAGGAAAAATAATAATCTTAGGATATGATCCCTTAAAATAAGAGATTGTAGAAATCTATTTACAAAATCATATCTCTATAGGAATAGTAACAAATCATATCTCTATAGGAATGATAACAAATCATATCTCTATAAGAATGGTAACAAATCATCTCTATAATTCCTACACTCCTCCTCAAGCTGGAGAATATACATTTTATAATCCCAGCTTGAATAGGAATTTATTAAAAACAGGCTTTGGCAAAGCCTTAGTAAGAATTTCTGCAACTTGTTCTTCTAAAGGAATGTATGAAAGTGTGGCTGTCTTTTTGTTAACCTGATCAGCAATAAAATGCCTATCAATCTCAACATGTTTTGTCCGATCATGTTGAACTGGGTTCTTGGCAATTTGAATAGCAGATTGATTATCACACAAAACTTCAAAGTGATATTCTTGATTAGTGACAAGTTCTTTCAGTAGTTTAAGTAGCCAAATTCCTTCGCATATTCTCAATGCTAGTGCTCTAAATTCAGCTTCAGCACTACTTGAAACGACAAATTATTTCTTACTTCTCCAAGTTGTAAGGTTTCCCCAAACAAAGGTGCAGTAGCCACTACTGGATCTCCTTTCAGTAAGGTCTCCGGCCCAACTAGAATCTGTAAAGATCTTAACAGTTCTGTCTTGTGTCTTCTTAAACATTAAACCGTGTCCTGGAGTTTTCTTCAAGTACTTGAGAATTCTATTTGCTGCTGTCATATGCTTTTCAGTAAGATTAGTCATGTGTTGACTTATCACATTTACAGGAAATGCTATATCTGGCCTTGTCAAGGATAAATAAATTAGTTTCCCAACTAATCTTTGAAATTTCTCTTTGTCTACCAAGGACCCATCTTCTTTGTTAAATTTCAAGCTTGCCTCTATTGGTGTATCAATCGGCTTACAACCAAGAAAATCAGTTTCTTTGAGTAAATCAAGTACATATTTTCTTTGGTTGATTACAAGTCATTCTTTTGACCTTGCCACCTCCATTCCTAGGAAAATACCTTAGCTTTTCCAAGTCCTTGGTTTCGAATTCCTTATCTCTTATTCATCATCTCCGGTAAGAATTATGTCGTCCACGTACACAATAAGGATAGTTTTCTTATTTGTAGAATTTACCTTGATGAAAAGAGTGTGATCGGCGAGGGATTGCTTGTAGCCGTTTTTTAGGATGACTTTAGTGAACCTCTCGAACCAAACTCTGGGTGATTGTTTTAACCCGTATAGAGACTTGTTGAGCTTGCACACCTTATTACTTCCTTCAACAAACTTTAAGCCAGGTGACAACTTCATATAGACTTCTTCTTCTAGCTTGTCATTAAGAAAAACGTTTTTTTACATCAAGTTGGTGTAATTTCCAATCGCAATTTACAGCCAAACTTAGGAGTACTCGAACAGTAGTCAGCTTCGCCACAGGTGCAAAAGTTTCTGTGAAATCTATCCCATATGTTTGTGTAAAGCCTCTGGCCACTAGTCTCGCTTTGTATCGTTAGATGCTACCATTTGAGTTATACTTTACAGTAAAGATCCATTTACAGCCAACAACCTTTTTTCCTTGAGGAAGGTCCGTAACAGTCCAGGTAGCATTTTTCTCCAGTGCACAAATTTCCTCTTCAACAACCCTTCATTTTGAATCCTTTAGAGCTTCAGTTATGCTTGTGGGAACCTGTTCTTTATCCAAGTTTGCTGTAAATGCTTGAAAAGACGCCATCAATGAATTATAACCAGCAAATTTTTCAATAGGATGCTTGGTGCACTATCTAACCCCTTTTCTAATAGCAATAGGGAAGTCATCTAGAGTAGAGGAAGTGGACTTACTGATTTCTTCTTCTATTTCGGCAACTGGACCCAAATCCATTTCTCGACAAACATCAGATTGCAAAACAGCCTCAGGAATATGTTTTCTTTTCCTTGTATAGAAACGAAGGTGTTTGATTGGTGTTTTTTGTGGAATATTTTGAATGGGAGTAGGTGTATTTTCAGGAAGGGTACTTAAAGTGGGTATGGATGAAGTAGTGATAGGTACTACCGGTGGATCAATGGGAGTAGTTACAGGTGACAAATCTGTAGGTAAGGACAAAATTGGTGTCAATTCTAAAGGTCGAGAATGAAGAGTAGGAGGAGATACCTGATGTGGCTGAAAATCCTTCCATGTCTCCCCCTGAATTTCAGCCTGAGTGAAATAGGGATCCTGCTCATAAAATGTTATATCCATAGTGGTAAAAAATCTTTTTGAAGGAGGATGATAGCATTTATAACCCTTCTTAAGTGAAGAATACCCAACCAGTACACACTTTAATGATTTAGGATCTAACTTGGACTTATTAGGAGCAATGTTTTGGATAAAAGCAGTACAATCAAATATTTTAAGTGGAAGAATGGAGGAGATAAGTTTAAAATGGGGAAAGTATTGCAAAAATATAGATTGAGGTGTTTGAAGTTGTAAAACCTTACTAGGCATTCGATTGATTAAATATGTGGCAGTTAATAAGGCTTCCCCCCACAAATATTTTGTAATATTAGTGGTAAATAGAAGAGAACGAGTAACTTCAAGGAGGTGTCTATTTTTTCTTTTGGCAATACCGTTTTGTTGTGGGGTGTCAACACAAGAACTAATCTGAACTATGCATTTTTTCCCTGAAAAACGCACCCAAAGACTTAGCGAAAAATTCACTGCCATTATCAGATTTAAAGAGCTGAATTTTAGACCCAAATTGAGTGAGAACCATGTTATAAAATTGGGTAAAAACACATGCAGTTTCAGATTTATCTTTTAGCAAATAAGTCTAAGTTATCCTACTGTGATCATCAATGAAAGTGATAAACCACTTATAATTATCAGCATTCTTCACCCGAGAAGGATCCCAAATATCACTGTGGATCAAAGCAAAAGGGTGAGAAGACTTATATGTAGAAGGAGAATAAGTTGATTTAGTATGTTTGGCAAGAGAGCAAACTTTGCAAGAAAAAGAATTTGACCTTTTATGAATGAATAGAGCAGGAAAAACTTTTGCAAGATAGTGAAAACTAGGATGACCTAAACGGTAGTGCCATAACATAACATTATCAACTTTTTCTAAAGCGGTGAAAGATTTCGAGATTTCGATTTTAGTAGAGGCAGGAAGAATGTAGAGACTATTCTGCAAGCTGGCCTTACCAATCATCTTCTTCAAGTTCAGTGCCTGCAAAGTACAATCAATATCATTAAAAATTGTAGAGCAGTGCAAGTCGGTGGAAAGTTTATTAACGGAAACGAGATTGCAAGCCATATTTGGTACGAAGAGGACATTTTTAAGTACAATCTGGTCATTGGGAATAACAGTGCCATGTCCTTCTATTTTGCACAAAGAACCATCAGCCGTTTTGACAGCTTTACCAAAGTTTGGAAAAAAATTACAAAACAAATCCTTATTACCAGTCATATGATCCGTAGCACCAGAATCGAGGATCCAATTAGGGGACGATTGGGAGGAGAAAAAACTGTAGCATGAGGTTTACCTTCTGGTTCTTTCATGACCAGATTACCTTCTGATTGAGCAGCAGAACCAGAAAAATTTTCTGAATTTGAAGTGATCTCCGGAGTAGGAGAAGAAGTTGTGGACATCATCTAGGTTGGAAAGAAACCGTAACCTAAGCTGATACCATGTAGAAATCAGAGTAAATCTATGTAATTTCTTATTATTTTCAATATGACAGATTACATATTTATATACAAAATATCTCTCTAAAGTAGGAAACTCTAAGAAAGGAAAAATAATAATCCTAGGATATGATCTCTTAAAATAAGGGATTGTAGAAATCTATTTACAAAATCATATCTCTATAGGAATGGTAACAAATCATATCTCAATAGAAATGGTAACAAATCATATCTCTATAAGAATGGTAACAAATCATCTCTATAATTCCTACAAGAAACAAAAATTTTACTGGTTTTCAAAAGGGAAAATGTTTTTAAAAGTCATGTGACATATGTGACTTGTGTACGGAAACGTATACGAGAAAAGGGTGTTACAACTTGAATCTTAGTTTAGCTATTTATTTATTTTCGATATTCCGAGTATGTAAGCAAGAAAGTAGTAATTACTGTTGAGCTGTTTCTTTCTATAGGCTAGAAACTTAACATTCACGGTGTCAGTGTATTTACATTTTACATTTTGCTGTTTTGAAAGTGTGACTGCGACATAGTTTTGTTTGATCGTAATAAACAAACAGGATGAAACACACATCTTTGGTCATTGGTTCTCATCGTTGTTTCTGGTTTTCTTCTTCAAAATGAACCTAGATTTATGTACTTCAATCTACAAAATAAGAGTATACAAGGCTTATATTTGGTGAAAAGTTCAGGGATGGCTGGAGCATTAATCTTTCAGTGTTGTGAGTTTTTTTTGTGTGGATCTGGCGTGAATTTCTGGCTGGTCCCGAAGCTTTTATTACATAGAATTTTCCCAAATGTTCGCTACTCAATATGGATCAATGGAAAGCTACAGCTTGTTGTGGATCCTTATCAAGTTCTTGAGAGGTACCCTGCATTATATGGTTTTATGTATGTGCTGTTGATTTTTGAACTGATTATTACTTTCTTAGATTTTATGATTTCTATTCTGTCCAATGGTTTGCATCTCTAAGTTATAATGAAACATCAAGATCTTTTTGTCATTCTAGAATATTAACCAAATTATTGCTACATAGCTACCTAAATATAAGTTTTACTTTGGTTCAATATTTGATTTTCCCATGATCCCGTTTGATCTTTCTTCTTCTCAGATTCTTGTTGTTTCAAAATGCCAATTTTGCAATCTCGAGACACAGACGATTTGATGTTTTTGTGGAGGCTGAAGCTAATAAAGCTGCAGGAAAATATGAAAATTCCTCTATTGATGAGCAGGTGGATTTTTATAAAAAAGAGGGTTTAACACCACATTCTGTTGCCAAACTTCCAATTACCAGTGGTATGTACAATATCTTATGCTAATACAAATATGTCTTTTCTTTTTACAGTCTTTTAACCATTTTTACATTAACAAATCTAACTTTTTGGTACCGATGGTGTTCTTCAGATGTTCCTGAAGGTTGTGTGCTTATAAAGGAACATATTCCCATTACAAATCTGTTTACCTGCCTGTGGTTCAACGAAGTTGGTCGATTTACATCCAGGGACCAGTTAAGCTTTGCCATGGTAAGGGATAGAATAATGGCAAAACTTGATTGGAGTATCAATATGTTCTTGGATTGTGAAAGGCACAATTTCGTCATACAGGTATATTTTGTGTTAGCATTTTAACTTGATATAGTGTTATGAATTTAGGCAATAAAACCTAAATGTACCCTTTTTTACATTTTTACTGAGAAGACGGGGGATAGCAATCTTTTTTTTATATAGAAATCATTTATATATTCATACATGATATGCTTGGAGGAATTGGGCCTTTTTAGTCTTCAATTTTGTGTTAGATTGTTCCCATAGTCTTTTATTAGATAGTCTCTATGTGCATATGCTTGGATCATGGCATTTTTAGGTTTGATTGGAGAATGTAATCATTGTCTAGTAATTTTTCTTTACAGTCATACCATAGAGATTCGTTGGAGCCACCAGCTGCTGCTGTGGTTCGACCTCCAGCAGCTTTTCCTAATACCCACACACGTGGAAAAACTCCTGGGAAGAGGATTTCTCGACATGGAAGGTATAGAACATCAAGTTCAAGGCGTTGCCTTAGGGCTGTTGTTGGTAACAAAGAAACAAATTTCTTTTAAATGCGGTCTGAGCCAAAAAGATAAGAAGGATTTTAGCTTCTTTCTTTCATTTTCTTTAACAAAGTCAAATTGCTCCTAATTGTCACCATGGAATAGAAGGATGGTTATATAACTTTAGGATCATATAGGGAGTAATTTGGCATTGATATTTTGTCTGAAATTTTGATATCTAATTCTTCTGAATGAGCTATACAAGCTGTTGTCATTTTCCTTGCAATTGCTTGTTCAAGTTCTTAATAGTAATAGCAGCAGTTCATCATTCACCTACGTTACTCAAACTCGGGCTTGCGTCCAAAAATGTCTAAACATGTCTACTCAAATGTTTGTACATGATTGTTATTTGATAGGCTTACGAGCCATGCTACTCGATTAGCATGTGAATGTCGGATAATGGTTATATATCTGACACTGACATTTTCAAATCTTGTAAAATTTTGTATTTCGAGGGTCCTTGGAGATCCAGGTACGCATATGTCATATATGTATAGTTCAAAAAAATGAAAAAACAGAGGATTTAGCCCAAAGCAAGAATGTCTATGCTGATAGAGTTTGGTCAGAATTTAGACAGCAAAATATTACTGTGAAGAGACATGTTTTGTAAAATGAAAACACAGATCCAATTTCCAGATTGTCCATGTGATTTAATATTCATGTTCAAAATTGTTTTAGCATCAAATGAGTCTCCCCTTTATTCTCTGCAGCTGTAAGGTGAGAGAGCTTAGCAATGTGGGTTTCCATAACAAAAGTAAACGTTCTTGGTATGTTGTAAATCATGCAAACCACTCTTCAAACAACCAAAATCAACTCTTTTTTTTTTTATTAAAAAAAACCCCAAATTGCTAAATCTTAAACCCTAAATCTTCACTAATTTGATGGGACAAGATTTGACAAAGTGGAGAAAAGCCAAAGTGAACATAATATGGTGACCCATTATTTTCTATGTAAAAGGACCAATCAACCAACTGCATCTCCTCAATTAAAGACATAAAGTACTTTCTTTTGGGTAGCAAAATTTATTAGGCTGGTCGAGAATATCACTAAAAAGTCTAAAGTTTTGGCCCTACTTAATCTCATTCCATTTATAACAAAGATACCCCATAAACTATAGTCTCAAGCAAAATCATTAATTAATTGAAAAAAGGGGGAAAATTAATATTCACCCATTTCTCTTTGCTGTATGAGGAAGTAACCGAGGAAAAAGCATGGAGTTTTAACGCATGGTGGAGGCTAATGGAAGGAAGCTTTATATTTCTTTAAATAATTAAATCCAAATGAAATTCTCCAATAAAATAGTCAAAAAATATATATTCAATTCATTGTAAAGCTGCCTTGATTTCTCATTGGTACTTGTTTCCCTACTTATAAACTAACTTCCATATCCAAAATCTCAAATCCGGTGGTCAATGTTTTAGATCCAAGTCCTTCTAATAGGAAGATCATGCATCGATCATTGAATCGAATGTTTGAACTTCAATAGCTCATCTTTTGATATATGGTTTTTCTCCATTACCTTCACCGAGCAATGAGCTTACCAGGGTTCTTCATTATATGCATGCTCCATTCCATAGTTGCCATCACTTGTGGAGCTCTAATGGTGTTCTACACCAAGGAAGTCTCGGTTCTTGGTCACGGTTACGAGATCACGAGTAAGCTACAAGGCTCGACACCCCACGATCAACTCTTGATCCAGACATCCGAATCGTTTTCCGGATTGCTTTTGTTCACCATTGGTTTCGTGTTGTTCATGGTGGCATTCGTTAAGGAAAGGGACTTCCAAAGCTTCTTTGCCAAAGGGTGCGTATTGCTTCATGTTTCAATGGCTATTTGGAGAATTAGTTTTGAAGGGAAAGTTGAAGATCTTGGCCATGAATGGCTTAGGCAAGCTCTTGGGGATATCATGTTGGCTCTTTCCTGGGTTTTTCTTCTTGCATATTCATGGAGGGAGAAGTATGATTAAAGGGGTTGAGAAAAACAAGGATGACAAGTTGGGACTTTGTTTTATTTTGGGCAGCAAATTTTTTGGACAACTGATGCACACAGCTGTTTGGTCAGGCCATTGTCTCCTGCTTGAATCTTTCTTAGGAACTTGAACATCATGCTTGAATTCATAGGAAAAGTGAAAATGACAATGTCATATCAGGCTGGCATGTTTTGCTTTCAGTCCAGAGTCGTCTTAATATGCTTTTTAACTTCTAATCTTGATGCTTTAGTTGTAATGTAATAAAATGCCATGTAATTTTTGTCCCAAAAAGCAATCAAAGTTGCAGGAAATTTTTTTTGGTTGCCTAGTTCTTTTTGCAGGAATGGGTACAAATCAAACCTTGACATGAATTGAGGAAGTAATATTCCTAGAACATAGTTTTTCACAATTTAAATAAGGATAAAATAGTTTCGGAAAAATCTAAAATATATAATTGTTGAAGGAGTTGATGAACCCCAATATAATCTCTGAGATTTGATCATAACGTCTGTGTCGGATCTAAAAGGTTATCTGATCTATCTGTTTTCTAAGTTGTACTCTGTAAGTTCTGTGATTTTAACTCTGTTAATGACTTGAACTGCTTTGATATATGAGACTGCCATTTTTGAACCTTGAAAGGCTGGATTAGTTTTTAATATCTCTCGGTAACCTAGTCTATAATTTGCTGCTACACCAAGAATATCATACTTTTAGAATCAAAACATAGAAAAATAGTTATTCTAATAGTAATTCATTATTTTTATCTCTTAGCCATTACAGCACTGTAAAGGTGACACAGACAGACTTGAAATCACACAAAAACAGCAACGAAAGAACCGAATTTCATTATTTTTAGGTCCCAACTTTCCCATGGACTGGAACATAATTGACTTTATGTTAGCTTAATGACCACATGTGCAGTTTGTGCAGGTGCAGTTAGCTCCGCACTTGCAGTCGTTCTCCGCCAGAACCTCAGTCGCCACGGTGTTGATGTAGCTGCAACAAAATAGCACAACAGTTTATAATTTAGCACATGTTTAATGAAATTCAGGTATGGTTCTTTGAAGATGTCATTGCTTGAAGAGTTTAAAGCATACCACTTCTCAGTCTCAATGATCATGGTGTTTCCCTTCTTGCTGTAAGCATAAAAAAAGCCATTAAAAACACTTAAATTCATGGTGCAAGTTACCAAGAAACATTAACATAATCTAAAACCAAACACAAACTATGAACAACTCAGTCTATGATGGATGGGTGATTGTTTGATTACTTACACGCACTGGCTCTTGTCGCTGCAGTCGCAGTTGCCGCACTTGTCCGACATGTTGAAGGTTTTTGAAGACTCTGAAGTTGTAATTAGCTAGATTGCAATGGGATTGCTATGCTTTGCAGCATGAGCATGCATTGTATTTATAGATGAAGAAAGCAAAGGGCATGATGGAGAGAACACGTCTCTCGAAAAAGAGTCGGAGTCGAGTCGAAAGGAATCTTTTTGATAGTGGTGGGCGGACATTGCCACTTTTGGCTTGACTTGCTATCCTCCTCTCATGTCCATATCATTTCTCCCTTTTTCCAAAGGGAGATTATTCCTATACATGCATATAGTATTTATCTTTACTCGTGTCTGCTGAACATTAAAAGGAACCCAAGTTAATGGAATTAAGCGAATTTAATACTTTCCTTCAGTTTTTCTAAAATCCATATCTTTTAATAATTTAATCGGTAAATTTCATGAGTTATCCATATATATATTTCACATTTTTAAAAATATATATTTCTTTTATGTAAAAGAAATTTTATCGTTAAACATATATTTATAGAGATATTATTTTAGATTAACAGTAAATATGCCAAATTGATTTAAAATTTATATGCATAATAATTACAATGATATTGATCAATCAAACGGTTGGATTGTTACAAATATCAATTGTAGAAAAAACTTATGAAAGTATAAAAAATCCACTTAATTTTACACTAGTCTAAGTGAATCTATCTTTATTGATTTTATATAAAATCTACTTAATTTTAGGTAATAATTAATAATTTGTCTCTTGGTTTTTAGTTGTCCTTCCGATTTTCAAGAATTCGATTTGACTAATATTATTTTTTCTTTGTAGAGTGAATTTAAATGAAATTTGATTATTCCTATAAGTAAAAAAAGATTTCCCTGATTAAAGGAGAGGTTAATATATGTTTTTATTTAGTTTTTGATACACATGATTATTGTATATATAAATTAAAATATATTAAACTATTTTAATATTTAGTTTTAAAATTTTAGTTATATCTCTCAAAAAAGTATACTATAATGACACTTTTTTTAAATTATTAAAAGTAAAACATGTATAGTTGACATGATAATTTTATATTTTTAAATATATTATTGAAGATAATATAAATAAATAATAAATTATCCTTTTTAAGTGATTTGAATGTAACTTTAAACTTAATGGGTAAATTGTTTACTTTTGAAATCAAAATCTAAAAGTAAATATAGTATAAATGTTTAATTTTTTAAAACAACTCTATTATAGTGGTATATAAAATTAAATTTAAATGGTATAAACTAAAAATATAAAATATTATTCGTTTACCTCAAATCATAAGATTACTTTTGATAATATATTAAATTTTTTTCTTTGAATAAATATGATTGAAGATAATATATGATTTTAAGATTTTCATCCACAATTATAGCAATAAAAAAATATTGTCATTAGTTTTTTTCTTCATCTAATTTTCTCTTATTAATAAATCGTTTATCTCTTTTCTTTTATCTTTGTTGATCGATGACGGCATTAACTTTAATATTGATTATTAATTGTTATTATTCTTTATTGTCCTTTTATTTTATTTTATTTTTTATTTTTAATAAGTCTGTTTTATAGTACGTTTTCCTCTACCTTTATGACATATTTTCTTCTGGCTTTTAATATGTTTTTCAGTCGTTTCATTATTGTTTTCTCTCTTTTTTTTTCATAAGAGTTGATTAGACATCGCCATGACTGATCAAGATGATACTTATTTATTATATTGTTGATATTCCCTACTTTGGACATTGAAATTGGATTTGGATACCCATTGTGCATTCGTGGATGACATGTGATCTTAAATTGTTAGTTTTGTTTAAATGATTATATTAAATTATCATAATTATGTGTTTAATTTAAGATTATGATTGTAAATCTTTATTATAATTTAAGATATTTTAAATAAAATTAGTGATTTCTTAAAAAAACAATTTGCCATTATTAAATTCAGGAGCAATTTATAACTATGGCAACAGAAAAAATATTTAAGATTAAACTCAAAATTTAATATCAATTGAGAATTAATCAATAGCGTGTTTAAGTTTGAACATGACTCTTTTATTAAAAAATTGAACTGCGATGTAATTTATAAAAAAATCGATTTAATTATGATCATTAACGGATCTAAATTTTTGTTTTATAATGTATATATATTAATAACAAGAAGTTTTTATATGAGAATGATACAAATAAAATTTTAAAATTCACACCACTAATAAAATAAATAATTAATATAAAAAATTATATTTCAAAATAGATACATATTCGTCCTGAATAACACTTTGATCCGTAAGTGACCATGATCATAATTATTTATCGGGCCAATGATAATTGGCCCATTTCCTACTTACTGTTAGGGATGGGTATGGGTTGGGTTGGATCAAGTTTTTGGTCCACCCGACCGATCCGAGATCAAGGAATCCTCCACCAAAGATCTGACCCGACCCAACCAAAACAAGATTTCACCCGATCCGATATATAACTTAAAAACCCGACCTGATCCGAAATAATAATAAAAATAATATTTTTATTTAATAAAAATAGCGACTTAATTGAAAAAATAATATATAAAGGAGTATTATTGTAATTATTCCTAAATATATAAGGTAAAATTATTAAAAAAAATCGCGTCGGTTATTTTTCACCCTTAACCCGAACCCAACCCTGAATTTAAAAAAATCAACTCAATCAGATCGGGTCGAGTCATAACCCGTCGGATTTGAGTGTGATGTCCATCCTTAATTACTGCTTTATTTATTCGACCTAAAAAATGTTTATTATGATATCTTCATTATTCATTTCCACGTCAGCAATATTTACTCTTATTATTTAGGGTAAACTACTTCAATGGTCATTAATTTTTGTGTAAGTTTTTGTTTTCACCACTGATGTTTCAAAAGTCACAAATTAGTCACTAACGTTATCGTTTATTTCAAATTGGTTACTCGTAGTTAACAGACGTGACGGAAAACGCACTGGCCTGTTAACAATAGTTAACAGACTTACCTGGATGGTATAACTACACAAATAGTCCATGTTATTTATATGTTCTTTCAATTTGATCATAGTTTTAATAAATTAAAATATATTTATTTTTAATTCTTATAAATAATGATATCAGTGGCAATCAAAACCCATGTTTTGCCAGTCCGGAAGTCATTAACAACATTTTCATTCAAATTATAAGATGTCAGGACCAAGTAAATTTAAAAATTAGAATTCTTCTGTTGGTGCAGGCGGTAAACAAAACAAGAACGAATCCCACATGGTTAATAAGCATGGAAATAGCCTTTACCTGTATTTCAGATAATTCGGAATGGATGACACTAACTATAATATTATCAAATTTCAGCTCTTCATACAGTTCCTTCGCCCCTTTTTTGCTTTGGACAAAGATCAAAACCGGTGGATCCAATTTCAACTGCAAAGCATTTTAGAATACAAAAGCAAGAATAGGGTTAAGACATATTCCAGATGAAAAACATCTAAATGGATACCAAGAAAAGAAAATGGATTTTTTATGCTCATATCCTCCACAACTTCAACCAAAATATTGCTAATGCAATAAATAAAACAAGGTATATTGGTACAACCTATGTTACTCAGAGGTGTGTACGAGTGTCGGAAACAGGTATGGTTGGACTTTTCTTAGGTTTCCATGTATTTGAAGGATGCTTATCCCCATATCCATGGGTCAGATACTAGTCCATGAACAAGATAACCGAACACAATTTCTAAGGGTAATAAGGTGGATTGTCTATGATATATCAGAATGATAGGAAGTGACCATAATTGCAAGAGAAATTGCATTCTCAACATCCATTTAAGCGGCATACCTCTTGAAAACTCTGACGAAGTGCAAGGAGTTTCCCTTCTTCAGTTCCAGCAAAACTAAATTTTGATTAACAGAATCAGAGGCTGTATTCCTGGATAAATATCAAAAAGTTGAAGTATGTCAAAGAGGATT